CTTCCGCCCTCCCCCTCTCGGGGCCTTTCGATTGGTTGGAGTGAGGGAGACGTCATGGGCTCATCCTAGCTCCTGCCCGGGCTTCTTTTCTATTCAAGTTAGTTTGGGCCTGCAAAAATAAATAAATAATCCTAAATTGGAAAAAAAAACAATTAGCTTCAGAAGCAATATGTGAATTTTGGGGAGAGAAATGGGATTTCCAAAGAAAACAATCCCCAGTGGAATTGATGACTTTCCAGGGGAATTTGGGGTGTCTCCCCACTTTCTACTCAAGGCTTACGCCCAAACAAGAGAACTTCATGTCACAGGCCTATGCTGAGGCCCAGGGAAACCGATTGTCATTGGAACAAAGCAACGAAGCAAAAGGCCACTCTTCTTCGAGAGTCACTCAGCCAAGTAGCGTTGTGACAGTGGTCTCCTTTAAGTGAAGAACTTTGTCAAGCCATATTTTCCCTCAAGCCCTTTGTTGATTCTAGAAAGACTTTGTACTCTTGCTTTCCAAGATGGCTCTTCGGAGTGGGGATGTGCAGTAGTTTCGAGGTAGAATGGTAGGTAGGGAAGCCGTAGGTTCATTCCGGGCGCCAAAAAAAGTGGGGGGCATTGTTTTGAGACCATTGTGAATACCACACGCCAGTTCAGTCAGGGCTGAGATGAATTGCCCCAAATAAATTAATTCATTGTAGACCGCCCCCCCATTAATCTTCCACACAAACAAAAATTAACCTCTCCTCCAGCTAGCTAAGAAACTTTGCTCTTTATTGCCTCCTGAGATGATAAACTGTTAATATTTTTGTGGAGTATATGCTCCAAACCAAACCTAAATCAAGGCACTGTACTTGGTACAAGAATAAGGAGATTCAGTGCCATATTTATTCTCTTTACATCACCAGTCTAACACTATCGGCATTCCAAATTGCACACACATGTGTAATATGTGTGTACAAACACGCACACACATCACCACCCGTTTTCATTCCATTTTCCCCCAAAACGTGAGAGTGCTTCCAACTAGTCTTTTTTAGAGATATTTTCATTATTTTAATTGAAAGAATCACTTCTCTTACTGAAAATACTTCTGAAGCCTTTCTAGGCCAGATCTGGAAAAGCCTGTAGTAGGATTATGAAATCACCAGAAGACAAAGCCTTGATGAAACTGTAATCCTATTGTATGCTGCCCTGCAGTAATTATTGTAACCTATTATATTATGGTACATATGTTATTTACCCCAGAAAGATCCCACACATTTCCCCATGCTGAAATAGCTGATTTGTGCTCTCAGAGCCATTGAGGTCTGGCCCAGCGGACTGTGTGGTGTTTGTGCTTCTGTTCACTCATCCGACATTTATGGAGTATCTGTGTAGCAGGCACTGTTCTAGATGCTGGGAATACAGCAGCAAAGAAATAAAATCCCTGAACTCTAAAGGGAAAGAGACATAAAATACACACAGAAACACATTGTTCCAACATCTATTGTTAAACAACAGCAGCCCCAAAGCTTATTGGCTGTAAAAAATGTAACTATCTCATGATTCTAGGAGGCGATATGGCTAAAGAGTTCTCCTTTGGAGTCTCTTATGCAGTGGCTGGTGCTGAAGTCACGTAAAAACCTCCTCATGTGTCTTCAAGTAGGAGATGACCGTTGACTTGGGCCACAGCTTTGGAACTGTGGCCTGTGCTTCCTCACATCACAGTGGCTGAGTCCCAAGAGCGAGTGGCCCAAGAAGAGCGGCAGAGATTGACGGCTTCCAGTGACCCAGCCTCCGGGGTCACGTGGCATCAGTTCCACCAATCACAGGCCTCCTTTGTTCAAGGAGGTGGGAAAGAGGACCCCCCCGACACACACACACACACACACACACACACACACACACACACACACACA